TTCTTCCAGGCCAAGCTTTCTGCTGTGACAGGGAAGTGCAGCGGAGGATGGCCCAAGTCCTTGGGCCCTGTACCCCATGGGAGACCAGGATAAGTACCTGGCTCCTGCCATTGGATTAGCACGGTGTGCTGGCCACAGCGCGCTAGCCGCGCCGGCCGTGCCGGCCATTGGAGGGTGAACCAACGGCAAAGGAAGACCTTCCTCTCTGTCTCTCTCTCTCACTGTCCACTGTGCCTGCCAAAAAACAAAACAAAACAAACAAACAAAACAAAACAAAACAAAACAGAGTAGAAACAACACTGCAATAAATTCTTTTTCTTTTTGGTGTTGCATCTAAATCCTGACTATTTTTACTCCTTAAATCTTATAGTTCCTCTAATTCAAATCATTGCCTACCATGCAGTTTGAATAGCAGTTACATTTTGCTTTCTTCTTTCTCTACTTAATGTATATCTCAGCAACTTTTATAAGATTTTATTTATTTATTCACTTATTTATTTGAAAGGCAGAGTGACACAGAGAAGGGAAGAGAAAAGATCCTTTATATGTTGGTTCATCCCCTGAATGGCTACAATGGCTGAGACTGGGCCAGGCTGAAGCCCAAAGCTTGGAACATCTGGGTCTCCCACATAGGTGGCAGGGGCACAAGCACTTGGGCCATCAACTGCTGCCTTCTCAGGCCCATCAGTGGGGAGTTGGGTCAGAAGAGAAGCAGCTAGGATTCGAACTGGCACTCTGATATGGGATACTGACATGGCACCACGAGCAGTGGCTTAACCTGCTGCACAAAAATGACAGGTCCTTCAGCATCAATTTATTTATTTAATAAGAATAAGGAAGGGGAAAAAAGGGGGGGGGAGCACGTAAGAACAGGAGGTTAGACTAAATTGCTCTGCACAAGGTAAGTGTTCACACATGGAGTGCTCCTTCCTACCACCAGATCTCTGTGCCAGCTGCCTCTTCCATTCCATCCCCAACCCCTCAACCTTCACATTTTCATTCAATCATCACTTCCCAAGGATTAATTATCTGATCTCCCTAAGGCAGATCACTATATATATCTAAATTATACTACTCATCCTATTTATCATCATTGCAATTTTATATTGTGTGATTATTAGTATTGTCCTCCAATAATACTAACAATTTAATAAAGTGACAGGAAAAAGCAATGTCATAAAATTACATTAACAAGTTCAGGCTTGAAATATTGTCAGAGCACCATCTTAAATTTGGTTCAGAAGATATTGTCACAAATTAAAGAGGCTACATTCTTAGCTGAGGATTTGAATTCAGAAGATGAATTACAAATTTCATGCCCACTACTTACCAGCAATGGGCTTTCCAAAACAGGAGAAGCGTATGTGAGATGATAGATATACATATGTGTTATATATTTATACACAAATATAGTACCTTTTTTTTTTTACAGGAGTGGATATGGAGAGAGAGATTATAATGATCTTAACATTGATCTCATTGGACTGCCTGGGACATGTAAGATATATATGTAGATAAATGGTCAGAAAGGTCTAGAGAACAAAGGAGCAATCAGAAGACAGCTGGAAAAACCATGAAAATGGATGCAGTTGCCTAGGTAATATAGAATCTGTAGTCTGGAGAAAGATTCTAAGAGAGAATCTTAGGAAATACCAATATTTAAAAGGTTAAAAAAAATCAAAGATCTAGTAGAGACGTTTAAGATGCATATACTTGGGGCTGGCATTGTGGCATAGCAAGTTAAGCAGCTATCTGCAACAACAGTATGCTATATGAGCACTGGTTTGAGTTCCCACTACTCTACTTCCGACACAACTTCCTGCTGAAGTGCCTGAGAAAGCAGCAGAAGAAGGCCCAAGTATTTGGGCTCCTGTCAGCCATATGGGAGACCTAGATGGAGTTCTTGACTCCTGGCTTCAGCCTGGCCCAGCCCTGGATGGTACAGCCATTTGGGGAGTGATCTAGTGGGTGGAAGATCTCTCTCTCTCTCTGTCTCTCTGTAATTTTGCCTTTCAAATAAATAAAATAAATATTTTTTAAAATCTTACTTAGTGTATGGATATTCCATTTTTTAAGCTACTAAAACTCTTGCTGGACCATGAAACTAATAATGAATACATGTTTAAGAAACAATAAATAAAAATTATTTATAAAAGTATTGCTGTTGGTTCATTATGTGAATTAAATGAACTATATATTTTACAATTATGAAAAGTTGCAAATATTGGAATTATTACCTTCCTCATTCAAATAATGATTACATGTATTTTGTATTTTTTTAGGTTTTGTTTTGCTTAAATACATAGAATAATTATCAATATAGTGTTGGGCCTAAACAATTAGTAAAATAAAAAGTGTGGCAAATTAAGAAATATTCATGAAATAAAATCTCAGTTAAATAATAATATTGTAATGGTAACATTGCTCTCTCTTTTCTCCTGTAACCAGACTTACTACCAGTAATAGGGTTTGCAATGGGGCTACCTTCTTTGCTTACTAAGTACTATTCAATAGTTCCAATCCTTTTTCTAATCAAAGATGTTCTACATGCAGTAAGAACAGCTTCTTCTATGGCTCTGTGAAACCACTGGGGGAGGTCTATTAGTTACAGCACATTTGTAGTACACTTAAGAGGATGTAGGCAGTATATTTAAAATACTTAAGATACATTTAGATGTAATGCTTCTTCATATTTGAGTAATAAATTACAGAGAATCTGTTATGCAAGCTATTTCATAACCACCATAAAATGTATAGCCTACGAATAACAGAGGGTGCAATCTGAGTGTCATGAAATTGCAAGCAGGCCAGGCACCATGGGTACTGGTGCTTCCTTCACTGAATAGACAATGAACGCAGAGCAATTCAGGCTCTTTCAGGCACACATCCGAGACTGATGAACCCTGCCATGCAGCAGATTATCAACAAATTCAAGTCTTCTGAAAGACCATTAATAACAACAATATATATTTCTGCACTAAATAAAGGCTTTACTTCCTAAAAGACTGTAATAATTAGCTAAGTATGAAACATCATACTAAATACCAATTTGAATCCTACATGGCATTAAGTCTACAGGATATATATATATATATATATATCTGTACTGCCAAATAACTGAAGAAAAGATTTTTATATTGTGGATAACATTTTAGAACTAGAGAGAAAAAAGACAGCAAAGGGAAAGACCAATAAATTGCCATGCCTTCAAATAATGAAATTTCTGCCTGT